TAAATGTCATGCACTTCTTCCCACTCTGCAGAATGAGCTCTTTCTCCTCCCTGAGAATGAGCCTTCAATGTCACCTTCAAAGACAAGTCTTTCCAACTGTCCCATTTCAAATAGCATATCTCTACTGTTATGTTCTTAGTGCCTTTGTTGCTTTGTCCATATATAATTCTTACAACCTTTATTATTTACTTACCCAAATTCTATGAGGGCATGTGCCTTATTTTTCTTTTTAAATCTATAATCTAAATTTCAGATTACAGAAACCAATAATAAAATAATGCAAAAACGGAATATATCTTCAATTTTTTTTAATGTCAGTCTGATTAAATTTCAGGTTGAATAAAACACTAGAGATAGGCAATTTGATCTTGTACGAATTAGCTTGGTTACATGATTGACAATGTATGTTGGACAAAGTAACCTATTTTGATCACCTAACTATATATACTGATTTCCAGCATGTTTATGATCCCAAGATGGTGAGTCAAAGGTACAACAAAAAAATGTCTATTACTGTTGGGATTTGGTTGATGAACAGTGTGAAGTGGGATCTTTTCTTTCACCATTTAGAACAAATGAAGCATGCAGTCAGAAGCATTTGTGTATGTGAGGGGGAAGAGGGAAAGAGTGTGAGTTACTGAAACTGTGATTGGTAGGGAAAAACAGTTGGTAGAAAAAAATTTATGATATCTTTTGTACTTAAGTCATTTATACTAGCAATGATTACTGAAGAAACAAAGAAACAAAAGGCTTTCTACTATTATAAATTTTAGTACTTATTTTGTGATGTAAAAGTAATGAAAAAGTAAAAGGATGTAATTTAATCACTAATTTATCCTGTACCATTAGACATATAATGGTCCCTTAGAAAATTCATATAAAAGTGCTGTACTCATGAATACTACATTAACTTTAACGATATTCATCCAAGTTATTTTTGGTTTGAAGAACAGCTCCTTAAGGATTATATATAATTTCTGTGCAAGAAAAATTTTTTAGATATAGTATTATCCCAAGATCAGAACAAACAACACTTAGATGATCATTGCTGGATCAGCATAAAAATATTTTTTGTACTTTGGATGCTAATCAATAAATAGTAATTATATAATTACTTATTTTATATTGTAAATGTTTAATAAAATTATATTCTAAGCTGTATTTATACTTATGCCTAACAAGAATGGGTGTGATTACAATCTCTGGAACCCTTACAACTATAAATAGTTTATCCTCAAAAACTAATTTCATCTAAATGAATGGTCTTTCAGAAACATTCTTTGTAAGTAATCCAGTGTTCCTAATATAACAAAATTTTTAATATTTTCAATATTTTAATGTTCACTCTTGAACATTCTTAAAAAGTTTCCTCAATGTCTCCATTCTATAAATATAAGAACAATAGTCAATCAGAGTTTGTGAATAAAACTTATGAAAGGTCAACTAATTATAGGCTATGAATTTGTTAATCAGATGTTTTTCTGCTTAGATATATTTACCTGTATTTACATACAACTCAGTGGATTATGCAGTTGATTCACTCGAATTAATAAATTTAATGAAACCAATCAGTCACACTATTGTTTTGCTTGTTTATTCTGTTTGTCACTGAATTGCCTGGCGGGGGGGGAACCAATTAACAAAGTATTGGCAATAAAATAATTTCACTAGACTTATGTACTCATACCATATTTTGACTTAATTGAATTATCAGAGTATGCAATTGATTATTTTTGAAAGCATGAACCACACCCTTAGAGATGCATCGACTCATTTAAGCTATAAAGTAGTATTTGCTGCAGAATAATTTTTGATAAATGGATTCCTGGTGTCTAGTGGCCACTGTGATATACAGCACATGGTTAGCTTACACATGAAGATTGTGTTTTATATTCATATAAGTGTCTAGTAGAGAAATGAAAGGCTATATTCCTTGAAACACAAAACCTTTTTAAAATAAAAATTACCAACACTTAACTAATACTGTGGTTTTAAATACAGGGAAAATTCATGGACTAAGAGAGAGAAAAACATAATTCATGTTTCCACTTATTTAATCAGATGAAGTGATCTAGGAAGCACCTTTACTTTCTGATCGATTCAAGGAGGTTTGGTTAACAGGGAGAGAGAGTCAAATTGATTTATTTTGTCTTTACAGTTAGCTTCACACTTAGTTAAAAGACAAGAGAAGAGATCTTGTCTATGGTCAAGTTACTGTTTAACGTATTTCATGTTAAAATAATGAGGTAGGTTACTGTTTTCTCATTATCATCATCATTTTACCTTGCTTATGTATGGAAAACTGAAGAGTGGGGTGGGAATTCTAGGAAAAGTGAATTCATTTTTTTCAGCCATGAAGGATGTCATATAATAGGGTAAAACAGATAAATAACATTAAAATATTACTTTGTCAATAGCTTAATCAGGAAGAAGTTACATAAAAATGTAATTTTATTCTCTATAAAATAACAAATTTCAAAGTTAAAACATTAATTCCATTAGCCTTTAAAGTGAAAATTATTGGAAAATTAAAGTTATCTTCTCAAAACTAAATATGAATATTACTGTTTATTTTTGTGTATAATAAATCAAATTTATATTTTACATTAATCTTAACAAGTTAAATATAGATAATTCTATAATGTCCCATGCTTTCCATGTTTAAAAACAGAGACTTTCATTTATTTTATTATGAAACTATAAGAAAAATCCCTAAAATGTTATTAAGAATAACATTTAGAAAGTTAGCATTTTATTAACCTTTAGTGTGATGATGTCAATATTTGAAAGTTATCTCAACTTATTAGGAAAAATTTCTATTCACTAAGACTTTGGGCTATAAAAAGCATCATTTTATAAATAATCATTTGTGCGATAAAAAATCTGATTATACTTTAAAGTGTTCTTTTGAAGAAGTCAGGCAAATTTTACCCAATTTAACCTTTAGGTACTATTCTGCCCATTGCACTCTTTTGCACAGCCTGTGCTTTCAGTGTATCAATACAAATTCAAACTAAGACTTTAAGTAGACAATCTTTAATGCTTCTATTTAACTGATGGGAAAATTGGGCAATACTCATTCACTAAGTTAAGCTAAGTAATAAAAATTAATTACAGATTCTAGGTAAAACATCTGTAAATACTACGGGAAAGTCATTAAAATAGGTAAGCAGATAAAATTACTGCAAGAGGTTAATAAGTAACATCTCAATGCTCTTAAGTTTACTACGAACGTCTGAAAGGTCATACTTTAACAGGACATATTTTGGTAGAATGGCACTTTAGAGTCATATGTAGATTCAGATATCTGTTTTATTCATGTTAGTAACCCCAGGGCCCAGGGTAATTACTGATATATTTAAATGGATAAATGTTTGAGTAAATTATTGCATGAGAATAGCTGTTATAAACTTCTACTACACTTGACAAAGTATTCATCTCTACTATATCCCTATTTACTAAAGTACAATATCAATGTCTGACTTTCCAATTATTAAAAATTGTTTTCTCTCCTTGTAATAAAAAAAGGTAGTCGTTTCACAGTTTTTTAACAATCTTCTATCTTCACAGAAATAAAGTAACTACCTATTCAATATTTTATACCAATAGTCTCTGAAAACAAATGAGAGATGCAGTGTGATGGTGTACAGCACCACAGCAAAGCAGGACACTACAACTGGTGTCTATTATGCGATCTATCTTCAAAGCCATGAGTATTACGTATGGTTTCCAAATTCACCTACATTTTTGTGATTGCATTCTGTCAGTAAAAATAATTGTAGTCATTAGGAAAATATGCCAAAGTACCAACTGCACAACTGAGAACTTAATTTTGATCCTGAATAATTATAAATCTAAGTAAAATGGCCATATATGTAGAGGACAAAAAAAGAATGCTGTGTTGTTTACTTGTCTTCTCCCTTAGCCTTCTCCTTCTCAGAAAAAATGCACAGTTTCAAGCCATCTGACCTCCATTTTTATATCTGAAAATTACTTCGAGACTCTGAGACATCTGCCTTATATGTTAAATAACTATAACTCACCACCACACACAATATTTGAAGTGACATATTGGTCACTACAGCAAGAGTGAGAATATCTAGCTAGGTACATGCTGGAAAACTTTTATGGTTGTTTCATGCTTGGTCTGAAAGGACTTAGAACATGCAGGTGGCATTTTTTACAGATCTTTATTCACAGCAGAAATCTAATGAGATGTTTCATAAAGGCTGTATTAATAAAAAAAGGAAAATGCTCAAATATTCTAAGGGATTCCATCACTTTTTACACACTATTCACCTTCAGTTTACCACTTTACCCACCGAAACAAAGTCCTCCAAGAAATCTGTCAGTGACTTGACTTCATGAACAGGGTATTCACAGCTTGGAAATTCACCCTAAACGCTGTTCTACTACCCACGCTCAAGCATACGAAACCCCAACACAGATCGAGGGCATCTGGTCTAGGAAGAATTTCAAATAAGTCTACTTTGGTGGCAGGAATGGAAGATGATGCCTGAGGCTGGGCGAGGGCGGCAGAGTCACTGGAGGGGAAGGGCTGGTAGCTGGTCACGGGGTACAGTGGGAGCACCCTGCCTTCCAAGAAGGCATTTGGGAGAACCACACACGTTCCCCTGAAATGAGCGACCACCAAGAGCCAAGAAGTCTCCATTAAGTCTGTGCCATGAAGCCTGACCTCCGGCCGAGACAGCGCGGTGGGGAGCGGTCCTAAGGCCGCCAGCGGTGGGACCCAAGTGCAGCTGATGCTCACGCAACCATTTAAAGACATTTGGAAGCAGAAGGGATCCTAGCCCGTGGGGTCGCTGTCCCGGGCGGTCCAGACAGGGCGCTATGTAAGGGGACATCCTCGACCCCGCCGTGTGGCGAGCCAAGAGACGCGGACCCCGGGACGAAGTTACCTGCAGGAGGCAACCAGTGCCCTGGTTCTCCAAGCACCCTCCTCCTCCCACCCACTCCCGCTCCTCCGCCCCGTCCCTTACCTTGGTTGTTGGAGACGTGACTGCAGTCGCCTGGCCACGCTGTCAGCAAAGGCAAGAAGAAACCAAATTGCAAAAGGAATTCCCGGACTTCGCAGCCCCCCATGGTTCTCCCCGGCTCTCTTCTCCTCTCTCTTAAAGAGTAGTGGCGGCAGCGCAGGCAGGTGTTCCGGGTAGGACGGGGGTCCTGGTCCACGTCTTCTTCCTCCTCCTCCTCTTCCTCCTCCACCCGGCCCGCAGGGGGTGTCCCGGGGCGCCCCCCGCGCGAGGTCCCGGGGACAAGGCACGAGGGTCCAGGCTGCCCAGGTGCAGGTGCAGCTGCTTCGGAGGAGGACGCTGCCTGCGGCGCCGGGGAGGTCCTGGCGGCTGGAGGCGAGGGGAATCGCATCCACCACGGTGTCCCGCTCGCGCGAGGACTATTCACTTGGGCCCGAGAGAGCGCGCGCGCAGGAGCGAGCTCGGGCTGTGGTTTGGGGGAGGGGAGCGAGGGGGCGGGGAGCGCCTCACCGCGAGCACGGGGGCGGGGAGGGACCGCCAGGTGGGGCGGGCATTGGGGCGGCCCGAGCGCCTCTCCCGACTCCAGAGGGCGCGTGCGGAGCCGAGGGCGGGGGAGGCGCAGCAGCTGTGAAGGGGCGCGGGGCCGCGGGAACTTTCCTCCGGCCGGGGCCCGGGCGGACGGCGGCTCAGGCGGGCCACGAGGGGTTCGGGCGAGGCGCGCACTGAGCCCCGAGCTCCGGGCCTGGGCGGCGAGGGCGGCGGCGAGGACAGCGGCTCCCACCGCAGGCTCCTCCGAGTCGGCCGCGTCTGCGCCGCGCTCCGGCCGTGGCCGCCGCTTTCCCGGCGTCTCCGAGGCCGCCCTTCGTCCCACAAGCACTTAGCCGCCCGGTTCACAGCAGCGGCGCGGGCCGTTTTAGGTCGAGTCCGCTCCCAGCACCGCCTGCCCCCGACTTCCCCACATCCCCCCGCTGGAGGGGGCGAGGGCCCTGGACGGCCGCTCCGGTTCCGAGAGCGCGCGGCGGCGGCGGTCAGCGCGACCGTTCTCCGCGCGGGCCGCCCAAACTTGCCCACCGGGGCGAGCGCCTCCGCGGCTTCCAGTCCTGGAAAAGCAGAGCGCGGGGCGGGAAGAGCCGAGGGGCTCACATCAGGCGGGAAGCGGGCGGGTGCCCGGCGCCCGGGCTCGCGAGGTCTTCGCGCCGCCGCGCGGAGGTGACTTCGCGGTGGAGGTCACGAGCATCGCAGCCCTGACGCTGGGATTCAGGGGTCCCCGAGCGTCCACGGCGTGGTGGCGTCGAGCCGCGCTCTCTTAGCAGCCCCAGGGCCGCGGGGCGCGTGGCCACATCCACGGCAGGACAGGGGCGCCGTGGCTGAGGGCTGTCCCCGCACGAGCCGTCCCCTCGCGGCACCCACCCCCTCCCGCGCGGGCCTCCCGGAAGCCGCGGCGCAGGGCACGAGGTGGGACCGCGCGGCCCCCGCCCCAGGCTCGGGGCCACACTGCGTGCGGACGGGAGGGACCCCCGCGGCCGAGGCGGGCGCGCCGCAGAGCCGGCCGAGCCCAGCCTTCCCCGGCCCGGCTGCCGCGCCTCCGATGCCGCCAGTTCGGCGCTAGAGGGGGTTAGTCGACAACGAAAACTCCCGCACCGCCTGCAGGTGGGGGCGGCTCCCCAGGCGAGGAACCGCGCGGAAGGAGGGGTGCTGCGGGCCAAACGACGCGTTGGCTACGGGCGCGCCGAGGAAACCGCGGCGCCTGGGTGGGGACTCAGTCATACTGCATTCGGGACTGCTGTTTCCATCATCACTTTTCTTTCTTGAAGGGACTTCGGCTATCACAGTCGAGTGAGACTGAAAACCCCACTTCAAAACCCGTCGGAATGTTTCGAAAAAATATTGATGGCAACGGAGAAAGTGAACAGAGGAGAGAAAGTAGCGGTGTTGTAAAGGATAGACGGTATTTCCCAGGTGGGCAGAAGGCACAGGAGGGAAATGGCTCAGTGACAAGGCGCTGAAGGAGCGGAGGGTCCGCGTTTGACGCTTGCCGAGTTCCCGGAGGGAAACAGCGCTTCCATTCCACGCGTTTCCGCGCGGCGGGGGTTCACGCCGCACACCACAGCGGAAGGCGGCTCACTGAACGCCTGACAGTAAACTGGGAGGAAAGACGGGGGAGCAGGAAATGCCCCACATCTAAAATTCTGCTTCGTGGAGAGAAATGTGAAATGCAAGTGATTTCCAGAGTGGGAGCAGGGTTTCCGATTGGTGACTGTACTCTCATCCTCATGAGGAATTCATACACTGCTGCTTGTCTTTGAAGGTGTCCACGCCAACTTAATGGATGCAAATCATTTCTATAAAGATACCCTGTGTGGGGTTTATGTATCGGCTCTTAAAAGAGTAAAATCTGATTTTGATTCTCATTTTGCCACTGTTACTGATATTGACGGACCACATGGACATTCGCAAACTCATTTTAGAGTTTATAAAAAGTTGTAAAATAAAAACACTACATTATGACGGTTATGATATAAATCATTGCGTCTAAATAATGTTCTTAGAATTGTTTGATTCATTATACCGATAATTCTATTCAAAATCTCTATCTTTTTATATATTGTCAAAATATATTTCCATGACCTTTTTATAATTAAATTTTCATTTTTAAGTTTTGGCTTACAGTAAATCTATAAACATCATTGATGATTCACTAAAAGAAAAATCGTTCAAGAAGATACTCCTTATAAATTGAAGGAATGTATAATATCTTAAAATATAAACCATGTGAATCTATTTCCATACTTTTACTTTTGAAATTAGACTTGCCAGGGAAAAAATTTTAATGGAACATCACCAAAAGCAAGTGATTTCAATATAATTCCCAACATCGGATATTTTAAAATCAAAGTTTAAAATCGAATTCTGATATTTTGCTTGAGTGTTACATTTTAGAGAATATCTTATAAAATACCAAGAAGCTTCACTTAAAAAATTAGACTAGAAGGCAATAATTGTAGTGGAAGGAAGGGGAAAAGGCAGGGGGAAAAAAAAGGAGAAAGAAATCGAGAGGGAAAATTAGGTTTATTTCTAGCGCTCCCACTTAGTTAGAAATCATGACACAGTGCCTGAAACAAACTGTTACTTCAAAGTAACAATAATAGACTTGATTAACCTGAACTTCTAGTCCCCCCCTCCACTATAGTTACAGTTCAGCTACATTTCATAATTTTTGTATGTTTAAATGAGCCAAAGTCAAGTTTGATATATATGCGTGGTCAGATAATTGATAGTCATATTCTGGTCTTGGCTTTTAAGAAAAAAAATTACAAGACTTTTCTCAATATTAAAACCTATCTCACGTGTTTGCATATGTTTGGATGCTGTCTATTGCATGTCTAGAAGATAATGACATCTTAAGTAAAAACTCATCTAAAAGTGAGTTGAAATATAATTATCATGGCCTTTGACAATAGCAAGATTCCATGAGTTTGACATGATTATTAATGTTAAAACATGATTGTAAAAAGAATTACCATGACCGTTTGATCATTTGTTTTATATATATATATATATATATATGCACACAGATGCACAAATGTGTATATGCATGTCTTCTAAAATGTTTGGTTCTTTTTATATGCTCAATTCTCTTCACTCAGGAAAGAGTTCAGAGTAGACTACTTTGTATGAGTATCAATTTCTTTTATAAACCTAACATTTTATTTAAACTATAGTCATGGTTATCTATGTAAGCTAGAAGCAATTGCACTTAGGAATGTACTTCCGTTTTGGTTTTCTAGCAGTGTTGAAATATTTGCTGACATGTGACAGTTTCAAAATTATAAGCTACTCAATGAACCAGATGCAATATTCATGTAGATTTATCTGCACTTGTCTGTTTGAATCATACCCATACTCAGAAAAGCATTCATGTCTCATTTTTCAGAACTACATTGTTCAAAATTCTTTTGTATTCTCTCAGACTATTGTTCTTCATGATATATGTGGTCTGAATTCAGGTAAGATATGATTAAAGTTTTTATTAAATAAAGAATATATGACATTAAAAACTAGTCTGCTTTTATTTATAGTAGAAATAATAGTATTCACAAATGTTATTTGCTTTTAAAAATGATTAAAAGAGGAGAGTCTTAACCTGCAGTTACTTCCTTTGAGAAAAAAAGAAGGATTAAAATGTTTAATGCTCAGCATGTTTCAAGGCTTGAGAAAGTCTTAAGTATATTATTCTGGTAGAAGAGTAAATTAATCCATTCACAGCACCAATTTGCATTCTCTAAGGTCAAGGTAGAAGAAACATAAATAAAAAGAAAGTTGATCCTCAAATATGCCAAAATATCAGGTCTTAAAAGATTAGGTGGGTACTTTGAAAAGAACAAATTACATGAATCTTTTTTGTTAATATAAAATGTAAAGACATGCTGTAGGCAATAATATTGTTATTTTCATGCCATCAACTTTAAAATATAAGTTAGAGGGCTGTGTTCTATGTGATTCACCATGCAAACAGCTAAAGTTAAAAAAAAAAATCCATGAAGTCAAATACAGTTAATTTTAGACTCATTGCTTTTAGAAAGTATGTAATTAGGGGAAAACATACACATTGTTTACTTCAGAAATTTTGCTGTGGTAAGAAGAAGTAGATAATATTTTTCTGAAAAAGAACATTCAAAGCAGTGAATTTTACTTTATTGTTAGCACATCAAATCTTAAAAACCTTACAGAAAAAAATGCAACTTGAAGTTACATAAAATGTATTATAGTCGATTCTGCTATGATAATTGAATTTTGGTTCTTGTGCTACATGCAGTGAAAGAAAAATATGTGTACATATGTCATATACATGTCATATTTATATATGTGTGTGCATGAAATTCAATAAAAATATTCTCTCTAGTACTTTTCTAATTCAGTAACCATTTACAAAGCAAGATTTTCACATCCATTTGTGCTGAGCACTGTAACGAAAATACAATGATTATTTGGATTTAGTTCTTACGTCTCAGAAGTTTATATTATATTGCAGCACAAAGACATATAGGTTATTCCAATTAAAATCAATCTCTGTATTCCTACAGTAGAGTTCCAAGTTATTATCGTTGTGTAAGAGGAAAAGAATTATACCTTCACCTTCTAAGGCATGGATTTCTTACAGTTACTGCTTTTACTTGAGTTAAACTCACTCTTGGTATGGCTTGATCCACCATCTGAAGGCTGGTACATAAACTTTCACTAACATTAAAAGCAATACTAAAGGTTATGCACAGTGACCTAATAATTTAAATAGATTCAAATAACTTGCCATATAATGAAGTTGACTTAACAGTCCGTGTGGCATCAGGCATCCACAGAAAGTAATTTTACTAAATTATGTAGAGACTTTTTAAAATTTATAAATGTAAATTATTTCAATTTTACAAGTAGTACATTAGTTTATTTTTCATTTCTCAAAATGACCAGCTGGGTCCAAACAACCATTTTTGTTGATTTATAATAAATATCATAAAAGAGCGTATTCTAAATATCAAGTGGGTAACAACTGATGATAGAAGTAAAACTGCCTCTTAAAAAACCTGTATATATTGAAATGTGTGTGATTATGTCCATCATAACAAGTATCACACGAATATTGTTATTAGTTTTATTCAAATATTGAAAATAAAAATCTAGTCCAAATATACTTTGTACTTTACCTTGAATTATGCCTATATTATGACACTTTGTGCCCTGTTTCAGAAAAACACAAAACAAGAAGACACTTGGGCATGTCAACTACTTAAATGTTAAATTTGCCAATAATATTATTCTTATGAATAACAGCTATGAGCTAAACATTACAATTGTTATGATACCAATAATACAAAGCATACTTTTATACTGCAATCACACTGGGGTAAATTAAAAGTATCAGATAAAGGTAAGTGATTCCTTCGTGTACCTCTTAAGCTGGTTTTATGGGTAAAGTTTTTTTCATACGAATATTTTTTACATAATTTCAGTTCAGTTTTCAAACAAGTACCACACTGGCATTTTTGAACTTCTAGTTTGTATGTTTTTAGCTTAAAAAATTAAAGGACAAGTTTTAAGAGAATGACAACCCAATAAAACAATATGCCCAATATTTACATTTTATGTAAGGAGTTCTATATCATTATAATCATAGTATGTTTCTTTTGCTGTGCCTATTAACATTTTTTCATGGAATATGAATATTTTAAATATCTTCTAATTTAATAATGATTAACAATTATATGGAACTCATACCAGTCATTTGACAATTAGCATATGGTTATTCATCTGCTTGCCTGATAAACATACCTAATCTTTTTGAGGATCCTGAAAAGTATTCAAAGAGCAGAGAACCTGTCCTTACATCTTTACAAAAAGTATTTACTAAATAATTATGCATTTAATATTTGTATTTACATTTTTGGTCAAAATTTTCCATCTTCATTAATTTTTTCATAAAGGATAATACCTACATAATCACCTGTAAAAAGTACCTAATTTACCCTTTTGTTTAAGATCATTCAATATTTATATTGCTAATATCTGAGTCAATATAATTTTGTAATTATTATAGGTGAATAATATATATCATATATTATTACATGTATATATGTTGCATGCATATTGAGCCTAGGTGGAGTTGTTATGAAAATGGTTTTTTGGCTGCGTGGGAACTTAACCTGCTATGGAGTCCATGTGACATTCTGTTGATATTTCAGTGTTAAATTCCATATATGTTTCATAGTTTTAGAAGTATACTGAAATTCATATTACTATATATTGTGATACCTTTGCTATTTTTATGGGTTAAAAAATTTCTAAATTAATGGATAAAGCAGGAAAGCAAACACTAGGTTGACTTACATTGGTATTAATTTATGATTAATCCTAGTCTGCATTTAATTGCTCCTGAGTTATTTTGCATCATGACTTAAAAAATATAAGTAGTGAGAAGTACACTCATGCATATTTTTGAATGATTTTATCCAATGTGAAAAAATAAGAAAGTTCCTTACTCATTGAAAATACGTAGAATTTTTTTTTTTTATTTTGAGGTGGAGTCTTGCTCTGTGGCCCAGGCTGGAGTGCAATGGCACGGTCTTGGCTCACTGCAACCTCCACCTCCCGGGTTTTACCAATTCTCCTGCCTCAGCCTCCCAAGTAGCTGGGATTACAGAAGCATGCCACAGGCCCAGCTAATTTTTGTATTTTTAGTAGAGATGGGGTTTCACCATATTGGCCAGGCTGGTCTTGAGCTCCTGACCTCATGATCTGTCCATCTCGGTGTCTCAAAGTCATGGGATGACAGTTGTGAGGTACTGTGCCCGGACAAAAATATGTGGAATTTAAAAAATATGTTTCAAATTATTTATCTGAAATAAATGCTGTTAATATATTAACACTGCCTAGTAGAACTTTTTGCAATGTTAGACATAGCCTATATCTCTGCTGTGTGATACAGTAGCCACTAGATATTTGTAACTTTTGAGGGTTTTAATGTATCTAGCATGACTGAGAAACTGACTTTTTAGTTTGGGTTAATTTTAATCAATTTACATTTAAATAGCCATATTTGGCAGTGGCTACTGTATTGGTGAGCACCTATCACCACTTTTCAGTAACTTCACGTTGATAATATGGAAATTCTGCCTTACACAGTCAGGTTTAGCAGTCTTGTCGTGAACAAAAATGAAGCTCACCTTGGACAATAACTCTGTTACTACATATGTTTACACTGTTTTCAAAACTAACCTGATTTGACATGCTTTTTGCATATTACACTGAGTTTGTCAGAAGACATTAAATGTAGGCACTGATAGAAACTCATGATATCTTTAAGAATTAATTCAATTATCAATGGAATTACTTACCTCATGTGTCTAATTTTTGATGCCACTATTTAAAAAATGGCTTGGAGCCACTTGTCATCTTAGCTCTTCCCACTATGTCTGCTACACTGCCCTGGGTCTCTCAAAATTATCATGACATAAGGAGCTCAATAACAGTTGTGGAGCTTCCAGAATTAATATTGTTTCCTAGAGACTTGACAAAGACGCAGCAGGATTTTTCCATTTAGATGCTAGCATTTGAGTTTGTGTTTTGTACTGTTTCTTGTTTTGTTTTCCCCCTTTTTGACGTTTTGATTTACATGTGAAAACATTGTCAGGAACCCTTTTTCATGTCCATAGATTTTTTTTTAAATATGAAGAGTACAAATGAAAGCCAGAGAACCTATTTACCATTGCTCTGTTTATATTATCTTAAATTGTCACGTGATGGTATCCTGCTATCAAATCTAATAAATATATTATCTCCTAAAGGAATCTTGAAATATAATTAAAGAAAAAGTTTTAATATTTATACTACTTAGCAAATAGTTACATGGTGTTTACACTATCCCAAGTGCAAATATTAACTTCAGCTAATAATTACAAATGCTAATGACAAATATGGATTCAACTGATCCTCAAAAGAACACTCTAAAGTAGGTGCTATTATTATCCTCATTTTATAGATTAGAAAGCTGAAGCACAGAACTTTCCCACCATCTCCCAGCCAGTAAAGTGGTAAAATAGGATGGACGGGAGCCCAGGCAGTCTGGCTCCAGAAGCTGTGCTTTTTATCACTATGCTCCTTCACTTGTATCCCTGAATATTTACCCAAATATACACAAGCATACACATTTATAGTTTGCATGTATCTGTGTATTCTTTCATGTAAATTTTATCTAATTCCATGAAATTAAGCTCAGATTATGAAATATTATCAATGAATCTCCTTCCCAATTGTGGATAAATTCCCAAATGACCACATTCTTTTTATCATTGCCAAATACTTTATACACTTCTGACTCTTAGAAGATCCTCTTTCTCTTTTTTTCTTAAAATCTTTCTCTTAAATGACACCTGTCTCCAAAGCAACTAGCTCATATTTATTCTGCTATTATGTTTTGTGCTCCATCTGGTGCATCTTTGGAAGGCACTGAAGCCTGCTTGCACAGAATCTACATTCTAGGGTTAACGTGTATTCAATGCTCTCATGT